CTCATACACACACGCATACACATACCCAAACACACAAATGCTCATACGCACACACACACACACACACACACACACACACACACACTCATACATACACACACTCACACTTATACACACACGCATACACACACAAACAGACACACACCACACACTTATACGCACTCACACACACACACACACACACACACACACATCGGTTTTCAGAAAAATCCACCCAGAAATGAGTTCTTTAATGGGCATGAAAGGTGTTGAGCCAAAAGACAAAAATTTGATAAAGATTCACAAACCTGTGGAAAAATGCAAGTTTCTTAAATTTGATTATTTTGACGAGAGCCTGATTCCACCACGCTGCCTCACATATTATTCTTTGTGAGTTAAGTTGACCTGGTGGGTGGCTGGAAGGCGCCACCGGTACGACTTAGTATTTGTAAAGCATGCGGGAAAAAATTAGTTACTTCTCGGATTTGATGAGTATGGAAATAGATACGTCATGCTTATAGGTGATGTTTTTTTTTACCATTTATAAGAATGCAATAATAAAAGGCATGTTATAGTTAAAGAATATGGCATCGATGGAAAATCTCCAAAATTGACCCTAGTGTCGATTTTTGGCCAAAATCTACTTTTGTGGATGGCGAGAAGTAACTCATTTTGTCAGCACGCCTCACATTTATTCTCTCCACTGTGTTTTTCCTGTCTGATTATCTTACTTTTTTCGCTTCATCAAAAGGTCCCTCACTACTATACCGATGTGTTTCTTTTTGTTTATACACAAAGCAAAGCTTTCACACGGAAATCGAACTCCTGTCATCTGGGTGTGGTGCTGACGTGCCTTTCCTTCATATCAAAAGTGGCGTAAAATTCGTATCTTCCACAATGATTTTCCTTCCAGAGCCTGCCGCGGGGTGCCCCCTGGGTCGGTACGGCCGAGAGTGTGAACTTGCCTGTCAGTGCAGCCAGCCGACAGAGCCATGCTACGTCTCTACAGGGATGTGTGCGTCCGGATGTCCAGCCGGATATATGGGGGAAGGGTGTTGGACAGGTGATGTATTCAAATGTTGAGTGTATGTGTGTGTGTGTGTGTGTGTGTGTGTGTGTGTGTGTGTGTAGTTATGTGTGTATAGGTATGTGTGTGTAGGTATGTGTGTATGCGTGGGTGCATGTCAGTGTGTGACTGACTCCGCCGACGAATGGAACAGATAAGCTGTTGGATAACCAGCTGGGGGAATCTGCTGCTAGAATCGTTCTATTTCTCAAGTTCCTGCAGTATTTGGTGTTTGGCAGTTCTCGCTGAGCTTGGTCTTTAACCAGGGACATTATGTGCTGCAGTGATACAGGACGCAATCTGTTTTGGAGATGAACGCTGTGGATGTGTCAGTCTTGTCCCTGCGTCATGATCCAAGGCCTGCCACGTCTAGGTCGAGGATACCGGAACTGAAACAAATTCATTTTTGGATGCCTTGGTCTAGGTCCATCATTTGTCGTTACAGACGGACGCCCCATAACGTGCCCACAAATGGTCGCTTTTAAGCACAAGGGGGCTATCCCGAAAAATGCTGTTTTGTGAAAATCGAGGGTAAAGTTTTTGCCCCTTGTTCATTTTTTAAAAAAAACAAGGAGAGTTTTCTCTATAACAAAACAAATATACACACCAATGAAACCAAACTTCTCCTATATGTAGGGCAATGTCCACTTTTGGTGCAGGTCAAGATTTCTGGAAACCCTCGAAATCTGGGTTAGCCCGCTTGTCCTGAAAAGCGACCAAATGTCCAATGCTGTTTCTGTGGACGTTCAGCCTCTGAGCCACATCTCGCTGAGTTCTTCCAGTCTGGGACATTCCTAACTCACGCTTTCTATAATTTTCCAACAGATGTTGAATGTTTTAAAAGCAGAAATATCCTCTGTATTTTATGTTTTTCGACACAAACAGACATCAAAATAGTGACTCATTGACTCCGATTCTAAACACGTGTACAAGTAGTCACATTATAAGGCATTTCAAGGTAAAATTGAAGCTATACAGTTATTTCCATTGACAAACAAGACATTGTTGGTGAAACTCTTGCAACTTGCAGAAAGAACTTAGATTTGCTGCCTTTTTCCTGAACTGACCCAATGTTTGTTATGGTTCAATCATTCATTCATTTATTTCATTCATTTCGTTCATTTCATTCATTATTCATTCATCCATTCCATTAATTAATTAATTCATTCATTCATTTAATTCATTCATTGATTCCTTCATCTTTTCACCCATTTATTACTTCATTCTTCCATTCATCCAACAATTTACCTCGTATTACTCTTTAATCTGCTGAACCGTCCACTTGTACAAAGATCGCCTCATCTCTGCTGTTGTTAATTATTTCTCTAGTTCTCCACTTTTGTCTTATTCAGAATGTCCACAAAAGACGTGGGGTAGAGACTGTAAGGAAGCCTGTGATGGTCGATGTGTAGACCAATTGTGTAACCGCGTCAGTGGGAATTGTGACAACTGCCAACCCGGGAAAGGAGGACATTTCTGTGAACAAGGTGTGTGGTGTTAAATGATTGCAATACAAGTTACCCTGACAAAATAGAAGGCAAAAAATGACAGAGACAGGCAAATGTGAGGCAGCGTGATGGATTCAGGCTCTCGTCAAAATAATCAAAGTGAAGAAACTTGCATTTTTCTGCAGGTTTGTAAATGTTTATCAAATTTTCGTTTTGGGGCTCAACACTTTTTATGGCCATAAAAGAACTCATTTCTGTGTGGATTTTACTGAAAAACGTTGATTAAACGCACAAAAGATGTACATTTTCAGTAACCACAGACTCTTAAGCTAAGGAAATAACTTATCTTTTTCAGCCATTTTCTCACTAATTTTACCTCTGAAAACAGGTGACCCCCACCTCCTTCATTCTCAAATATCTCGACATGTATTTAAGATGAACGGATTTTTTCCATCCAAATAAAGACATGTAAACAAGCTTTAAGATGATACCAATAACTCTATGTGCCCAAAAATTGACGAGAGCCTGATTCCACCACGCTGCCTCACAAATAAGAACTAAGGTATAGGGCTTGGTCACATGGGTAACGGAAAGGGAGCAGGATAGTACAGGTTTTGTGAGAGCGTCTGAGCAGAGAACTGAACAGAGAACTATGGTCGGCGATGTAATGTCAGTACACACACACACACACGACTGTAAACGGGATAGACGAACACACACGACACCAAGCGATCCAATGAGCCCAGGACAGTGTCTGACTTTTTATGTTCATCCCCGAAGTGAGCAACATTAACCAAAAGCCCACGGCATACGGGGCGCTTACGTCCCGTGACTAAAAAAGAGTAAGGTACGAAACTGTGACTACCATGAAAGGCGATATATATGTGTTTCAGGTCTGGCACCGAGAGAGAGAAGACAAAATTTATTATAGAAAACACAGAACTAACTGTGCTTCTAAATCTAAATGCTAGATCTCGAGTGACCTTACTCCACCTTAAAAAAATTGGAAGGAATTTGGGAAGCTCAAGGAGTACGCAATTAGGGCATGTTTATTTTGGTACAATTTTACCAGACGACTGTGCACATTGAGCTTGGTTATGATCAGTGGCGGCTCGTGGTTTGTGGAATTGACCGGCTATCATTCATATTGATCTCCTCCCCTCACCCCCACCCTACCTCAACTTCCACCTCCCCCCTTATCCCTCCCATACACAAACACACAGAGACACATTTTATACCTGTTTTTTGCCCCCCCCCCCACGCCACCCTGCCTCAACCTCCAACCCTCTTGGTCTTCCTCTCACCCCCCAACCCTCCTCCAACCGCCCTTTCACACACGTACTCACAGAAACACTTTCATACCAGTATCTTTGCTCTCACCCACTCTCTTTTTCACAAACAACACACACACACACACACACACACACAAACACACGTAGAGCCCTTGGGAGCATGGTCCCCTTCCACTAAAAAATATTACGTATATAATGAAAATGTTTACGAGCTGTTTTACAGTAGTCTGTAGAAACATGGAATCAAATTAAAACCACATCACTGACGCTGTCCCAAGCACTCCGAAGTCTAGGTAGAATCCGAAACAATAGACCTACAATACACTCAGCACATACGCATTGAATAAAGCAAACACACAACATTTTCCAATCGCAATTCTATGTCAAAAACTAATTGTAGAACACTGAATCATGCTAGGGGGAGAACGGAAAGGAGTAAAAAAGGGAGGTGGGAGGGCGA